CTCTGCTCCGCCTGCTCCAACCCCAGACCCGCTTACTCACAAAGGCTGATGGCTGTCGTTTAAAAGGAACGCGTGTCTCTGTCATGCTCTGAGCTCACTCCGCTTTGGAAACAGCAGGGAAGACTTTGGTACCAAGTTGCTCTAATGAAGGCCACATCCCGTCTCGGGGACCAGAGGGGGACCTGTCCCTATCCAGTCTCAACTCTGATTGGCGGTGTGCCCCGCAGGTGTCTCTCCTCTCACGGTTTCACATTTGCACATCCATCCTTGGATCTCACTCTTCTAGAGTTTTCAGAAGTTTGGGGAGGGAACATGATGCAGGGGGATGGCAGGGGAGAGGGAGTGGGGTGACAGTTTTGTTTTCTAGCTATCTTTTTACTCTTGATTCTGTTTTGTCCCCCCCCCATTTTTTATTATAGTAAAGCATGCAACATAAACTTCACCACCCTAACCATTTTTAAAAAATATTTATTTTTAGGTGTAGTTGAACACAATACCTTTATTTAATGTATTTACTTTTATGTGGTGCTGAGGATTGAACCCAGGGCCTCGCACCCAGGGCCTCGCACGTGCTAGGCCAGCACTCTACCGCTGAGCCCCAGCCCCAGCCCCAGCCCCCACCCTAACCATTTTTCAATGTACATTATTGGCACACTGCTGCCGGCACTACCTCCCCCATCTCCAGAACTCTCATCCTGTAGCACTCAGACTCTGCACCAGTTAAACACCACCGCCCCTTGCTGCCTCCCCACCACCGGCAGTCCCCTGCTGTCACTCTGCTTATCCGCCATTTAGGTATCCTCTGGACAAATGTCTAATCAAGTCCTTTCCCTATTTTTGAGTCTTTTGGTGTTGTTGTTGTTGTTGAGCTTTTGGAGTTCTCTACGTACGCTGGATATAACAGATATATGACTCGCAAGTATTTTTTCCTGTTCTGCCCTGTTACGGTTGGTAATGTCCTTGGATGCAGGAAATTTTTAAATTTTCATGCAGCCCAATATGCCTGGGTTTTTTTTGTTTTTTGGATTGGGGATTGAACCCAGGAGCACTCAACCCCTGAGCCATATCCCCAGCCCTTTTTTGGTATTTTATTTAGAGACAGGGTCTCAGTGAGTTGTTAGGGTCTCACTAAGTTGCTGAGGCTGGCTTTGAACTCTTGATCCTCCTGCCTCCGCCTCTTGAGCTTCTGGGATTACAGACGTGCGCCACCACACCAGGCCCAATTTTTCCTGTTTGGTTCTTTTGGGGGCCTCTGCCTTCGATGTTACACCAAGAAATCATTGCCAAACCTGCTGTCATGAAGCTTCTGCACTGTCTTAAGTCTTTAGTTCCAGGTCTTACATTTGGATCTTTGATCCATTCCGAGTTCATTCTGACCCAGTTGGCCTTCAGTGTCTGTGAGTTCCGTGACCCCGGATTCATGCAATTACTGATCAAAAATATTAAAAACAGGGGCTGGGGTTGTGGCTCAGTGGTAGGGTGCTTGCCTGGCATGTGTGAGGCACTGGGTTCCATCCTCAGCACCGCATATCAATAAATAAAGGTATTGTGTCCATCTACAACTAAAAAGAAAATACTTTTTAAAAAATACTAAAAACAGGGCTGGGGGGTGTGGCCTCGTGGTAGAGGCCCTGGGTTCCATCCACAGAACTGCAAAAACCAAACAAACCAACAAAACAAACAAACACACACACACACACACAAAAAAAAAAAAAAAACCGAACCCTGCACCCGTGCTGACATTTAGCTTGTTATTATCCCCTAGACAACACAGTATGATAGTATTACACGGCATTTACGTTGCCTTTGGTATTATAAATAATCTAGAGGTGACACACGATGAAAGTATGAGTGCAGGTTATATGCAAATACTATGTCACTTTATATAAGGAACTTGAGCACCGGGAGGCTGTGGAGTGTTGGCGACGGGCTGGAGCCAACCCCCCTGGATCCCAAGGGGCCACTGCTAGGTGAGGAGCACCCAGCTTCATTCTTTCCCTCATGGATATCGTTTTCCCAGCAGTATGGGTGGACTGTCCTTCTGCCTTCAGATAGTCCTGCAACTCTTCCTTGCCCCAAATCACTCGACATGTGTGTGAAAGTTAAATTCTGCACCCTGTCCATGTCCATTGGTCCAGATGTCTGTCTTTATGTCAGAGCAACATTGTTTTGATTATTGCTTGCTATTGATTTTTTAGATTTTTTCTTTTTAGTCCTTCATGACATGGGATGTGTTTTGACATATCACACATACCTGCTGTAACTTCCCCGTTGGTTGGGTTGTATGTGCGGTGGAGTTAACACTGGTCGTGTATCCATATAAGAACATAGGAAAGTTATGTCCAGTTCATTCTACTGTCTTTCCTATTCCCATACCCCCTCTCTTCCCTTCATTCCCCTTTGTCTAATCCACTGAACTTCTATTCTTCCCTCCCCCACCCCCACCACTTACTGTGAATTAGCATCCGCATATCAGAGAGAACATTCAGCCTTTGGTTTTCAGGGATTGGCTTATTTCACTTAGCATGACACTCTCCAGTTCTGTCCGTTTGCTGGCAAATGCTATCATTTCATTCTTCTTTATGGCTGAATAATATTTCATCGTGTATATGTACCTCACTTTCTTTATCCATTCATCTGTTGAAGGCACCTATGTTGGTTCCACAGCTTGGCTATTGTGAATCGAGGTGTTGTAAACATTAATGTGGCTGTGTCACTATGCTAGGCTAATTGTAAGTCCTTTGGGTATATGCCAAGGAGTGGGATAACTGGGTCAAATGGTTGTTCTGTTTCATGTTTCCTGAGGAATCTTCACAGTGCTTTCAGAATGGTTGCACCAATTTGCAGTCCCACCAGCAATGTATTGCTACTGAATTTTTTAATCCAATTACACATGATCTGTGATGCCAATTTCTTGACATTTGAGATTTGTTTTATGTACTACTACATGATATTCATGATAATTTTTGGAAGTATTAGATGCATGCTTGGAAATAATGTGTTGATGCTGAACCCTATATACGTGGTTTGTTTTTCTGAGTTTGTCTTGATGGCTTGTTTTTTGGGTGCTTTGTGATTTTGGATTCTGAGCTTATGTTTACTAGGGTTTTATCCATGAGAGTCCCATGTAGCCTGCTATGGGTGGGCGTGCAGGCTGGGAGGTAGGGTCCTTGAAACTGTACAGTGTAGCCCATTCCAGGTTGGTTTTATATTAATTTCTAGATTAAGTTGTTCTGGGACCACCTGAAAAATAAAAATCTACACTTCAAATTTGTCAGGGAAGGTCTAGAGTTACAATTCCTCAAAAGAAAATTCTTTTTTTTTTATTGGTTGTTCAAAACATTACAAAGCTCTTGACATATCATATTTCATACATTAGATTCAAGTGGGTTATGAACTCCCATTTTTACCCCAAATACAGATTGCAGAATCACATCGGTTACACATCCACAAGAAAATTCTTTTTTATGCTTCCAACAGAGCCAGAGGTGAGACAGGCAATTTATATGACATCACCTTTTGCTAAAGGGTGATTCCCTGCCCACCTTTTGCATTCTCACCAGGGCCGGGTCCAGTTTTATCCAGGTATCCTGGTTCTGAACCTGTTGATGAGGACCCTTGGCCGTGTCCCCATCTCCACAGATGGTCACATCAGCAGAAGCCAAAACCCTCCCTCTACTCTGACCCCCACCCCAATGCTCCCCACTGACCCATCAGGGTACCCAAAGAATAGCATCTGTTCGTCACTCTGAGGTTTGACTTGTCAGTTGGTGGTCCCTGGGGAGTACTTTTTAATGGTCTTGGAAACTCAGTTCATTTAATTTTATCCGGTGTCTTTAATATAGCACAGCATGACAGAAGGTTCCTCCCTCATGCTGTAGACCTGGCTGAGCCTCCATCCCCCATCCCCCATCCCCCAGACCCTGTGTCCTCACTTGTCTGATGTGGTTAACTGTCCTCTAGCCCTGCCTCAGTTTACCCTCCGTTCAGTGGGATGAAGACCATGACTTGGGCATGTGGGGGCTGGATATCAGCTCCTAGAGTTTCCCAGTGGCCTTGAGAGCTAAATATCTAAGTCCTTGGTGGCCCTTCTTGGCTGGCTGGGGACCTGTCATCTCACAGCTGAGGTGAACCCATCCATTAGTGCCAACACCTGCTTCCTTGCCTAACCTGATATCCAGCTGTGTTTGAAAACTAGAGAACTCTACAGGCAATTGATCACCAAATCCTAAAATTTCCCAACGTCCCTTGACTCTAACGATTCCCTGTTGTCCCCACTGCCTCTGTCAGTGTCTGGGCCTCATTTCCCTCATTAGGATCATTTCAAACCTCAGCCCTGAGCAGCCTTTGTCTCCCCCTAGGCCTCTCCCAAGCTCACAGCTTACAGATGCACAGAGCGCCAGTCAGGAGGCCAGGTCCACGCCTCTCCCTTGTGGCTGTCTTTGCAAACCGCTGTGGCTCAGATGTCCTTGTGCCTGGCCTGTGTGTGCTACAAGGCCTTTTGAAGTGTCTCTGCTCAGAGGCCAGCAGCTGGAACAAAGAGGGTGCAGAACCGGCTCATGATGTGGCTCGGAAGGGGAGAGTTTTGTCCCAGCCTCTCTGAACCCATCTTCACTCCAGGGAGAGCTGGATCAGGACTGAAAACCCAGTATGTTTCAGCTTTTAGAGAATGACAAAGTAGATTTTGCAAAATTAGTCATCTTCATTTCATCCAGATCCCACTCTTCACCTTGCCCCAAACCTAAGCTCCACCCATCACAGACCCTCGCCCCAGCACAAGGCCAGGAAGAGGACACAGCCAGTGTGGGGCCAGGTTGGGCACAGCCTGGCAAGCGCACCCCGTGCACAGCCCACCTGCCTCATCCTGGGAGCTGCGTCCAGCTCTCTACACCTCCCCCCTTGCTCTCCTCAGTGGGCACTGGTCCTCATCACAGCTTCCGGCTCCTCTGAGAAGTTGCCATGGACACACTCATTAACTCTCAACCAATGAACAGACTCACCGCTGAGTAGAGGCAAGACCTGTGATAGCGCAGTAGTGACTCACGTTGGGCTGTACCTGCCTCTGGGGACAGTCCTATGTCCTCAATCTCCCAGAGCTTGGGGCTCAGGGCAAACAGACCAGCATGGAGCGAGCAAGGCTTTCCCACTGTGAAGAGGTGGGCCATTTGGGGCAAAGGAACTAACCGATCACTTCGCCTCTCTGCCCTCCTCCAGCTGTGACCTCTGTTCATGACGCATGGGCTGGCTGGGCACTGGGGAGGAATGTGTGCTAAGACAGTGAGGGGCTCACAGTACCTGCAAGGTGAGAGGTGTGAGGGTATTCTGTGGTGAAGTCCCCACGGAGGGCTTCCTGGGAGCAGATGCTTGGAGGAGGAGGTGTAGTGGCAAGGAGGAGCAGGTGCCTTGGAGGACCAGCTCTGACCACGGCTGGACTCTGCTCCTCTCTCCTGCCCTGTCAGCACCCCTCTGAGTCCCTTGCCACCTGTCTGCCCTGCTCTGTGATCCCCTGTATCTGGGAGCAATCTCTGGAGGGACATGCTTCCATTTGGCTTGCTGGCCTGGGAACACGGCTACTGGCATGTCAAGATAGCTGGACAGGCTGCTAGAGTCCCCTACCTATCTCTCAGCTGCTCCCAGTTTAGTGACAGAGATGACTCAAAGGCAGGTTCTGTGCCAGGTGCTGAGCTCTGACTACAGCAGAGGGGCTAAGACAGTTTTGCCCTTGGAGTGGCAGGGGCTGGGCCAGACCACAAGGAAGAAGCCAGGGCAGAGCCTGGAGAGGGCACCTGGCATGGGAGCAGTCCTAGGAGAGCATGTGTGGGTGTGTGGGTCGGGGGTGGAGTGGAGAACCCTGCAGGCTGAGGACTTTGCACGGGATCCTGAGAGCTGTGGACTCCCTGTTTGAAGGAGGCCTCTAGGCCTCTGGGGCCTGGTGTGGAAGTCGTGGCAAGGTGCAGGCAAGACTGGAGACTGGCAGGGTGCACTGCCAAAGGGGAGGTTCTGGACTGTCGGGGTGCAGGGTGGGAGACCCGGGAGAGGCCAGACATGGGATTTCACCACCTGGGAGCAGGAGGAGGGCGGAGGGAGGAGGGAGGGCAAAGTGACACCTGTGCAGGGCCTGGCAGCAGGTAGCCACGGGATGCACCTCAGGAGTTTGCAAGTGGGGTGCCTGGGGCTGCTGCTCTGAGCTCACACCGAGCAGAGAGCTGTGTCATCGGGGGGACACACAGCACCCAGAGCAAGTGCAAAGGACCCCCATTCCCTGAGCCGTGGGGCAGCTCCTCGCTACCAAACAGGGACGTACCGTGCAGACCACTGGCAAGGTCGACTTGCTCTCTCTGAGCTCTGGGCTACCACTCTGCAGGCCCCTTCCTCTCCTGGGTGCTGTGACTGCACCTGGGGGGCCAGTGAAGGACCCCACCCTCCCACGTGCCGCCTACTATCCCCAAGGCTGCAAGGGCAGGCGGCTGTGGCCCTTCGGAGGCTGGGGCCACGGTGGGAGGGAGGGCACCGGCCTGCCGCGTGCCCAGGCAGGACAGAGGCGGCGCCGGGGCCTTGGGATGCCCGGCCCGCGGGGCTACCCACCGCCCGACGCTGCTTCAAAGAAAGAGACAGACGCACCCACCGGGGGCTGGGCCTCGGCTTCGGAATGTGACAATTTATTTGGGGGTAAAAGAGGCTTTTCACTCCCATTTCCTGGCATCGATACAATACTGAAGAGCAGCAGAACAAACACACACGACAGTCACCAGCCGAACCCACCCTCCCCCGCCCGGAATCCAGGGAACCGGAACGACAAGACCAACCCACACCGAAAACCAGCCCTTCCCCGCCGGAAGTCCTGGCGGGGAGGAGGGGGCAGGGGCCGCCCGACTTCCGGCTCCTGCCAGCCCTACTACGTTCCCGTCTTGACCGCTGGAGGCGACGTTTAGCCAGCTGGGAGCTGGATGGTTGGACCACAGACAAGGCAACACCACTTCATTTTAAAAATGAGCGCGAGAAAAAGAGACAGTGCCCCTCCCCAAATATAGAGCTATATATGTATACTTTATATATATAGAATTCCTTCGTGCACGATTCATTAAATGAGCTTTTCAAAAATTAAAAAAATTATAAGATACATATTTATTTAGGCCTTTGTGTTTTTAAATTAAAACCAACGAAAAGCAATTTGCATCTCTCTGTGCCCAGCAAGGGCAGGCCGGGGCACCTCGCTCCTCTCACCTGGCCTCTGGGGGAGGCCCCCCACCCTCCCGTTCGCCTAACTGATGCTCTGCATACAGTAGGCACTCACTGCTGGAGCACTGACTCCTTTGAGGATTGGAGAGGACGGGCAGGTTGAGAGGAAGGGTCCCCGGCCCTCACCCAACAGTCTCCCTGCTTCTGCATCTTGGGGACTGTCCACAAGGGGGGGCCAGGGAGCCCCTCTCCTGCAGTTTGAGTCCTTAACTGGGCTAAATTGGGAGGAGATGCAGACAGAAAAAACTAAAACGCTTAAACTTCTTCCTTTTTTCTTTTAAAAAAAGTGATTCCTCAAACCATATAAGCCCCAAAGAGGCCACCTTGGGCTAGTGCGTGGGAGCCCAGGAGTGGAACTGACCAGCTGACCAGGTGGGGCTCCACTGTCCAGCACGGACGAAGTGCAAAAAAAAAAAAACAAGCAACCCCCCAAAAAAACAGAAAAGTGGGGGAAGGGGGTGCATCCTCTCAGAAGGGGCCACAAAGGCTGGCAGCAGCCCAGACCCCCTTAGCTGTTTTTCCCGCAGGCTGATCCTCCAGCTCTGGGCAGGTCCACTGGCCTGGTAATCCCAGGACCACTCAGCTCTGGGATCAGCCGCGGACCTTGTCCTGGAGTGGGTTCCCCACCCCAATGAAGCAGCTTGGCCTCCTTTGGAATGGGGAGATTCCTCCCACCCTGCCACCTCTCCTGCAGCTGGGAACTTGGTCATCACCTCCTCCTTGATCACAGGAAGGAAGCTCATTTTGACCTTGACCCCTTTGCAGAGTGAGAATAAATGGGACTGTGGGTGGCTGGAAGTCCCAGTGCCAGCAGCCATGAGCACCTCACGTCCTTACACACCACCAGTGCCTTATGCCCAGGTGCCTTTCACACGTGGGCATGCTGAGGGTCAGAGGGGAAGTGAGACAGGGACAGGTGCCCACTGTCCAACTCAAACCAGACACCAGATCTCATCTGTTTCCTATGATGCGTAGGAGGGAAGGGGTGCATTCAAGGGGAGATGACCAATGGCCACCCTCTAGTGAACATAGAGGACAGTGGGCTCTGGGAGTTACTTCACATACAAAAATAAAGCAAACCAGATTGCAACTTTTGCTAGGTAATTAGGCAAATGGAAAAGCAGCAAGGGGTGGAGGAGGGGCCCACGGGAGGCCGATCCGTCCAAGTGTGCGGTCAGGAGTGGGCAGGCTGACTGGGCCTCCTGGGAGAGGGAAGGAGGCCTCAGACCCCATGCCCCCTCAGGCCCTGGAGGGCACCCTCCCAGAGGCAGTGTGTGGGCACGCCTGAGGTGGGGACAAGCTGCGCGTGGCTTGGAGCTGGGGCAATAGCCTGCCCGTGGAAAGAGATGGGCATTCCCATCTCCCCAGTTACCCCTGTCATAGTCACTGCCTACATCTCGCAGGGAAGAGACTCTTCCTGGCCAGGGGAGCTCAGGAAGTTCCGGTCTCAGGGGTGATAAGAAGGTCCCCACAGGGTGGTTGTACTAGGAACTGCTTGGCCCTATAAGCTGGCAAAGGAATGAAGAGGAGAAGCCACAAGCCTTCCAGGAGAAAACTGCTAACGAGCCACAGCCACAGAGCACCAGGACCCCATCTCTCCAAAACCTCAGCAGCCTTGGTCTCCATCAGCCGGGCAGCCTGGGCCCAGGCTTCTGGCTCGCTCCCTGGGGGCAGCTGTCTTCCTTCCCTTTAGTAAGGACGGGTGTGGAAGTGGGCCACAGCAGAAAGGCTCACCCTCCTGGGGTGGAGGAGGATGGCCAGCCCCAGGGACCACCAGCTTCTCATGGCCACCTCGTCTGTGCAATGCCGCATCACTACGTTCTCTTTAAATATCTTTCTCCCCCCACCCCACTCCCTTAGGAACCCCATGATAGTTTTTTCTATTTCTTTTTTTCCTTTTTTTTTCTTTTTTCTTCATTTTTTGAAAAACTAATTCTTTCACTTTCCTGTCATAAAATCACCTCTGAAAACACAACTTCTTTACAAAAAAGGTCACGAATTACACAGATTCTCAGGAAAACACATTTCCATGGTCTCTGGAAACACCTGTAACTGGCCCAGGTGGTGGCTCACCTGGGGAAGGGCTGGGGGAGTCACCTCTAAAGGCAGAGGAGAAATACCAGCCCTTATTTTGGGGAAAAGCCAATTGGCACTTGGACGGTCACAGAGCCCAAAGGGCGGGGTGGGGAGGGACTTGGAGTGCTGCCACCTCAGACCCTGTGGGAGCCCCTGTTCGGCACCCCAAGGGTGCGCTGGGGGGGCCATGCTGCAGCCCCCAGCAGGGAGATTAAGAAGAGTGTCCTCCCAAGGGACCAAGGTGCTTGCTCAGTATCTGACGGGCTCCCCTCCTGCCTCTTGCCATCTTGCTTCCGAGCAAGGTACCAAGGGCGGCACATATAGGGACCCAGTTTAAGCCACATGCAGAAATTGCCATCCACATCCACCTGCGTCCCTGGCAGTGGCCAAGAGTGGGCTGCCAGGGGCCCCCAGCCTCACCCCAGGGGACAATACCCTTGTTCTCCGGAACACAGGCTCCTCTGCAGTCTCCGGTCCCTGCAGCCCACTCTCCCAGTGCCTGGCCTAAAGCTGGGGCTTTGGTCTCTGCCACTGGCATAGGTGCCTCGGCTCCCTGGCAGCAGGGGCAACAGAAGCTGCCTAGGACCCCCGAGGCCTCCCACTGCTCCAAGCAGGCTGGGCTGAGAGAAAGCCTCAGCGTCAGAAGCAGACGAGAGGGTGGGGAGAAGCTGGAGGCCCTCGGGAGCTCTCCAGGCCTGCCCCCTCCTCCCCCAATACCCTGGAGGAGGGTGAGGCTGAAGTGGGGCTCCCCACGCTCGCTCACAGTTCCCACCATGCCAGGTCTGCAGTGAAGGCCTGGCTGGCCAGGCTGACCACCCCAAAGAGAAGTGTCTGGGGGTTCGGTGACCCT